TAGTAGTAGGTCGTATTAGTAGTAGTAGTAGTAGTAGTCGTCGTCGTAGTAGTACAGGTCTTCGTAGTAGTAGTAATAGTATTCGTAATAGTAAAGCAGCTGTTGTCAAAGTAGTAGTAGTCGTGGTAGTAGTAATAGTATGCGTAATCATAGCAGCAGCCGTTGTCAAAGTAGTAGTAGTAGTCGTCGTAGTAGTAGTAGTAGTAGCAGTAGTAGTAGTAGTAGTAGTAGTAGTAGTAGTAGTCGTAGTAGAAGTAGTAGTAGTAGTAGTAGTAGTGGTAGTAATAGTGGTAGTAGTAGTACTGGTAATAATAGTAGTATTAGTAAAAGTAGTAGTAGTCGTAGTAGTAGTCGTCGTAGTATTGTCGTAGGAGTCGTCGTCGTAGTATTAGTATTAGTATTAGTAGTAGTAGTAGTAGTAGTAGTAGTAGTAGTAGTAGTAGTAGTAGTAGTAGTAGTAGTAGTAGTAGGTAGTAGTAGGTAGTAGTAGGTAGTAGTAGGTAGGTAGGTAGTATAGTTGTTGAGTAGTAATAGTAGTAGTAAGTGATTGAGCGCAATACTAAAGTTTAGCATGTTTGGTAGTAAGTAGAGTAGTAGTAGTAGCAGCTAATAGTGGTAGTAGAATTAGAACTCTAGGAGTAGGTAGTAGAAGTAGGTTAGTAGTAGTAGTAGTAGTAGTAGTAGTAGTAGTAGTGGTAGTAGTAGTAGTAGTAGTAGTAGTAGTAGTGATAGTAATAGTAGCAGTAGTAGCAGTAGTAGTCGTCGTAGTCGTAGTCGTAGTCGTAGTAGTAGTAATGCTAGTAGCAGTAGTAGTAGTAGTAGCAGCAGTAGTAGTAGTAGAAGCAGTAGTAGTAGTAGTAGTAAAAGTAGTAGTAGTAGTAGTAGTAGTAGTAGTAGTAGTAGTAGTAGTAGTAGTAGTCGGAGTAGTGGTCATAGTAGTAATAGTAGTAGTAGTAGCAGCAACAGTAGTAGTAGCCGTCGTCGTAGTCCTAGTCGTAGTGGTAGTCGTAGCAGTGAAGTAGTACTGGTAGTAGTTTTAGTATCAGTACGTGGAATTACAAGCGCTGGTATGCTGATCGCTATGAATCTTATGCGTATAATTGTTACTTGTACCGAACCCAGAGTGTGCGCTTTGTTATCCTTCGAACTACGAGCGAAGGGTTGCTGTGTCCTGCAGCCGAACACCTCGGACGCCGGGCGCTCTGGCGGCCAGGAGTTCGAACGCAACTCACATAAGCGTTTGGTCGTCAACATGACGGCCGCTAGCCCGTGCAACCGCGCGCAAAACAACACACCGTGTATCCGCCTCGTGTTTCGCCACAGGGCGCTATGGGCCACCATCTGGGAGCCCATGGGCTCTGTTTGGCGCTGCGGAGCGCTGTTGGGCGCTCTTGGAGGGTATTGAACGTTTTTCGCCGATATACATTTCATGCAAGAGTGGCGGACACTTCCATGATTTTCTATTAGAGGGCATCTACTGGGAGGTCGTCGTCGGAAGGATTAAGAAAGATTAAGCCCCACTGGGGGGCTGATACGCCAGATTCTGCCGCGGATTAAACGGGATAAAGCAAGATTAAACGGGGCTGAGCCGGATTAAACAGGAATTCGGACCAGGGAAAGGCAAGAACTTAACCTCCAAGGAATTGCATCCCAATTGCTACCTAGCTGAAGGCCCCGCGTCGGCGCGCGCGCGCGCCGCGCGCAAGCCAAGGCCCGCCTGCGCCACGGAGCCCGCGTGCACGTGCCGGGGCCAATCCCTCAGCTGCCACCGGCCGTCCTGGCAAAGGGGGGGCTACTTGGATGGCCTGGGCGGCTGCTAAGGTATTTTGCGTGGCTTTCAAGTGGATGTGAGGGTAAGTTGCATCTGGCCTAACCTAGCGTAATTACGAGTGTGCTGCATGTGCCCTAAGCGGCCTGCGGGGGGCAAGGATCTGGGCTAAGTGGGCAGGGCCCCCTTACCGGAGTGACCTAACCCTGCTAAGCCACTTAGGGCGGTTGTGACCCACTTAAAAGCTAGGCGCGGCCAGGAAGAATTCACCTTCACATTCATTCTCACCCCCCTCTTCCCTTAGCGACCATCGCAATCATCCAAGTAAGAAAACAACAAAAAGGCATAGACATGAGCCTGGCCATCTGGGCCCCCTGGAACCTCCGAAGGCCTCTGAAGCCCCTGGGGATCTCCAGAAGCCTAGGGTTCCCCTCCCCCCGTCCCAAAAGACCCACGAAGGGGGAATGAGAACGTGGAGGAGTCAAAGAAGGCGGAAGAGGTGGAGGCTCCTCCAGCTCCTCGGAAGCTCCTCCAGCGCTTCGAGGAAGCAATCCTGCCTCTCGTGCGCCGTCGCGCGTCGCGCAGCCTCCCTCACCCATCGGTGAACAGGGCCGCCCGACAAACATAGATAGCATGCTCCGACGGTAGGACCCCGCATGAGAATCATCCAAACGAATCTGGAAGTAATCCTCATCGTCGTCCTTGTGACTGCGGAGGCTCCCTTCCTGTCTGGCATCTGCTGATCCTTGCCGATGCGTGCAAGCTTGATCGAGGATGTCCGGCAGCCTCGGTTTACAGAGGCCGCCTCGGATTACCGACACTATATGCAGGCTCCATGGGGAGGGGGGCTCCCGCTGGAGACGTCCTCGCGCGGAGCTCCGAACGTTTTGTGTGTTGTGCAATTGTTCTTCGAGGGCTAGGTGGGGACTCCCGAGAGGTCTTCGAACAGGGGACTATGTGTTTTCTTTTGCAGCGCGCATGGACCCTGGTCCGCGCAATATCACGGTTTACAGCTAGGCCTGGCTGAGCAAATCTGGGCCAGCTTCTGATGCCAGCGCCTCGGTTCCGAACGCGGATCTGAGACCACTCAATGCGACTCTTGCTCGACGTACCGCGTTGTAGCTGTAGCTGCCGTCTGTGTTCCGAACTGCCTCCGTGACTGCGGCACTGGTGGAGCAAACGCCGTATCGATGGCACTCCGCCCTAGAACAAAAACATCACCGTGGCACTGCCGAAGAAGCCGCCATCGTACAAACATGAGGGAGCATCAACTCCCTGACGGGCTCCCAGCGAAGGCGTGCAATTGACTCTCTCTCTCTCTCTCTCTCCCTTTCTCCCTCCCGAGACACAGGACTAATCCGCCGACCCTGTCAGCGTGTGGAAGACGCTCTTCCGTTGGTCGCCGTCATCGTCATCAATCAAGTCGTCTCCGTCGTCTCCTCGTCGTCTCCGTTGTCATCTCGGTCTCTCTCGTCTCCTCGCAGTCTCCGTCAATCGTCGTCTCCGTCGTCCCCCGTCTCCTTTCCATGTGCCCTCGTCGTCGTGTTGTCTCCGTCGTCTCCTCGTCGTCTCCGTCGTCGTCTCGAACTCCGTCGCCTCCTCGCCGTTTCCGTCAATAGTCTTCTCCGTCGTCCCCCGTCTCCTTTCCCTGGGCCCTCGTCGTCGTGTCGTCTCCGCCGTCTCCGTCGTCGTCTCCGTCGTCCCCCGTCTCCTTGCCCTGGACACTCCTCCATCAGCGCGCCAGCCAATCCGACATTGAGCAACGTCGTAACTGAGTCGAAGGGAAGCCCCTTCCCGGGGGTCCCAAGGGGGGGTTCCCGGAAGGGGGGGTGGGCCGCACCCCAAATACGTATTGCCCCCTGGTCGGTTCCAGGGCCCAGAAAAGCGCCAAGACGCAGTAAGAGTGCCCCCAGAGGCCCCCTGGACGGTCCTTGAGGGCCCCGACAAGACGCCAAAGTAGCCTCCAGACAGCTCAAGAGGTTTTTCCAAGAGGCCTTCAAGAGCACTCCTAAGAGGGCCCCCAGGAGCAAAAATCACAGATGCTCCTTCAGTGCTGGAAGATTTGAGAGACCGCCGCTTTACTGTGAGAAATTCCCCCCCCCTCTTCCCCCGGAACCCGGGGGTCCCACCCCTCCCTCCGAAAATCCCCCCCTCCCTGCTGGAACCCCTCCCCCTTCCCCCTGGCAAACCCCCCCACCCTTCGGAAAACCGGGGGGGGTCACTACCGGTTCGAACCCCTCCCCGCTCCCCCCCCCCTCCGGAAAACCGTGGGGGGTCAC